TCCACCCTCACAGCTGCTCCATGGCCCGGAGGCACTGGCTGACAGTGCACGTCTCTGCTGGGGCCCCTTAGGGGTTCCCTACTGGGGACTAGAGGAAGAACACTATCTGAACAGCCTTAAGCGAGCCTTCTGTCGAACAACGAACACCTTTCTGTCAAACATGCACCTCAGCACGGGGCCACTGGATGCTACGTGGACAAGGGGCAGGGCCTTGGCTGACCTTACTAACCAGCAAGCAGCTGCCCAGGAGGCAGTCTGTGTGGCAGTCCCCGCAGTGGGGGTGCTCTGGATGTGCTTCATCCCCACCCCCGACCTGGTAGTCCCCAGACCCGGTCTCAGGACATGGGGTATTTAGCCCCAGCACTTCCCACAGGGCTTAGGAGCTGGGCACCTGTTGGTGCTTACTGAGCCTGTGGGCAATGGTCCCATAGCGAACGTCAGTGCTCTCCACAGGTGCTGGGGGAGGGGGTGCTTCTGTCCCACCCACGCTGGCCTCTCATGCTCGTCATGGTATCTTTGGAAGAGGAAACGCTCTTACATTTTTAATGCAGTCTTCAACTTCTTAGTAAACTCTTTTCATGGTGTGTTTATAAAATACCTCAGTTTCTTCTTACTCGAAGGTTACAAAGATATCTATTCCGCCCCTAAAAAGTTTTATTATGTGACTTTTAAAAATACAGTTTGCTCATAAGAGAAAAAAAAAATCATTCTTTTAAAAAATGTCTTTTATACATATATATTTATACATATATTAGATTCCCACTGAACCACGGTTGCACAGACCGCTCCTCCACGACACTGGCACAACACTTGCAGTGTGTCCACGTCTTCATGACCAGGCTCCCACCCGTCCGGTACCCCTGCCCAACCCCCACACCTCCCAGTTTTGCTGGTGATGAAGCAGGGACCATTTAGTCTCCTTAGTGGATCTTTTCTTCTCTTTAAAGGGGAGCACATTCCTTCCGGGTGAGATGGCTTGTGATCTTATTACAAAGTATATGCTTTCATCACGGGCTAAATAAAATGTGAGTGGTCCCAGATTCGGGCGACAGATCAACCCAGGGTTGCTAGCGTCCAGAACCCGCTTCAGGTGAGGGAGAAGGTTTGTCTTCCTGCCCCTCCCTCCTCCAGCTTCGGGGCTTCCATTTCTGTCCTGAAGGTGGTCACAAAGGTTTCTTTTTCAGTCCAAAGGCGGCGCTGAAGAAAGCCATCAGCCCTGCAGAGAGCGCAGTCTGTCTGTCAGTTCATGGAAAGGTGAAAAGCATATAGGGACACACGCCCACACACGTGTTCAGCTGATCATGTCCATCCTAGTAAAACGAACAACTGCAAAGCAATTAGGTGCCATATCAGTTTCGCTCTCAAAGAGCTTCTAGTACTGCAGGTATTTATCTGTATCAGCTAATTCCTTGTAGGAGGTCACACGATTCCGTGTATTTTTAAGTTAGGACTTGCTGGGCTTGCTTCTCGGTGTAATAATCAAGAGAACAGAAGTAGAATTAGTCGCACATGGCAGACTCGGAAAATGCTAAGCAACAGACTACCTGGTCAGTTTCATGGATGGGCATTCAGAAGTCAGGCAGATCATCCAACCAAGGTGCTTATGGGATTAATGTTATTCCTATTTTAAAGATAAGGAAACTGGCCCAAGAGCTAACAGCTGACTTCTGCACACACACAGCCCCACAAAAATACTAGTTGCCCCCAAGTTGATGACATTAAGGCTATGGCAGGAATTGTGATGAGCAGTTTACTCAGACCTGTGGGAGCAGAGAGGAACGGCCTCTGGGGAACACCTGCTGGGACAGAACTGGCGCTAAGGCCATCCCTGCTCCGTGCCTCAGTTTCCTCAGAAGGACGCCGTGAGGAATAAATGAGCTGGTAAACCCCAACCTGCAGAACTGACCCAGGGCAGTCAGCTCTCCTGGAGCAGCGGGGATTTGCGTACCCCTTACCCACTGCAAGTGCTTGCTCTTCTGTCTTTGGCCAGAGGACCGCTTCCTCTGGCCTGGGAGACCAGCGCCCATTGTAGGGCCCTTCCCTTCTGCTGGACTTCTGTACCCATACTCCTCCTCCGGCTGAAGTCCCCGCAGGCCCTCTCAAGTGCAAAGTCAGCACAGCATTTTCTTCTGCTGCTGTCTCCTTTGGAAAAGAAGGACTTTCTTCTGTGTGAAGGACCTTTTTTCTCCTGCAAAGGCCGAGGAGGAAAACAGTCTCTTTGCAGAGAGGCTGTAGGGCAGAGGAGCACAGCATGAGGCGGGGAGCCACGTCCAGAGAACCAAGACAAGATGCTCTGTGCCGGGTGCTCAGAGAGGCAGGGCTCTGGAAAAGGCTCGCCCCCATCCCTCTCACGCTGGAGGGGAGGGCCCTCGCCAGACCACTGCACACCAGGCTGTTCCTCCAAAGCCCCCCAGCCCAGACAGCAGCACACGACCCGAGCAGACACTTCCAGAAAGCTAGGGAACAAATCAAGCTCGTGATCTAAGTGCTGGATGCTGGACGGGCCAGACTGTGCGCGTGCACAATGAGCAACTGGCGAATGGGGTGCACACAGACTTTACAGCCAGGAAGAACAGGCGGCCAGCCCGAGGGAGTCTCGGGATCTCGTGGTGCCCACCAGGGCTGCGTTCTAAGCTTGGCCTTCCTAACTCGTCTCAGCAAATATCGCTACACAGCCAGCAATCCCAGGAGCCCAGAGGTTGGTTAAGGGCACTCCGGCCTGCTCCTGGGCAGGCGTGATTTCCAAACTGTCTCAGAACTTCCAGTTCCAACAGGAGTTCCTTTGGGGCCCTGTGTGAGGGGACTGCCAACCCTGGAGGAAGCTCAATTTCCTTTGAGTTTAATGCTCCCTGGGGTGTATTTCCCATAGGGCCCCTCATACAAACACATACATATATGTCCCTAACAGGTCTTTCAACGTTTGTACGGCCTTTTACTTCCTGTGCTGTTTGTCATCTTCTAGGATGTGCTTCCTATGTGTAGCTGCGGTGTGTCCAGACACACTCGTGTGTAGTAACTACGTAACTGCCACATGCGGTAACATGTTTAACAGGAAATGGGCTCCTGAAACGTGAGAGTCAGCAGCCTCTCACACAGGCGCCCCTTTTCACACAAGGCCACAGCGCCAAGATTCGTCCATATCGCCCGTCCCTGATGCCATGCACACCTGTGGTCAACCTCACGGCCGAAGACTGGGTGACTGGCATGCACAGTGATGCCCCATGGCCCGCCTTGCTGCCACTGGCCGTTGGGCTGCGCTGGGTCTTCAGCACGCGGTTGTCCACTATGAACCAGTCCTGGTCACCCCCAGATCTGCCTCCTCAAACCTGGCGGGAGTCCCACATCCTGCGGCTCAGCCTGTCCATGCCGCTGTTGCTGCTCTTCCCCTTTCCGGACCCTTCCTGGGTCCCGTCAGAAAGCCAGTTTTGCATTCAGCTGCGTTTTGGATCATTTTTGTAAGTCTTCCACAGGCTGAGCTGTAACTTGGCGGTAGTCTCTGCTCAACACCGGCTTCTCCCTCCTCACGCCTCTCGCCACACCGCCCTCACCCGTGAACAAGCCGTGCTGTGTGCTCACTCCGGCCCTTAGAGCCCAGTGTGACTGTGTAGAGGACACCCGCCACTCCATTCCCAACCACGGCCTGGGCCTCCCCTTGTTGCCACTGTTGCCACCACCTCCCTCTTCCTGCTGCTGGCCAGTCTCCACGCATTCACAGAGTACAGCAGGACATGGGTGGAGCCAGTGTGTGGCCCCCAGCCCCCAAGTCTGTCTTCTTTGCTGCTGTGTTCCTAGGTTGTCCTTGTGCCTGATCCGGGACAGGCACCTGTGGAGCAAAAATGGAGGAAATGCATGTATTGACAATGCGATTTAACACAAACCCACCAGTAGAACACTGTGGTGGTGCAGAAACCTGTATGCAACTAAGGTATGCACTACTGGGCTCCGTTAAAAACAGCATCAGCCTACACCTGCATGCGCTGAGCACGGCCCGTTTCATCAGGATCCTTTATGAGAGTCTTTAGCACTGGGTGCGAGGCGCT